GAAGCCACGATCCTCGCCGACGATCATCGGAACGAAATTATTCGCGTTCCTTTTGCGCCTTCTAGGAATCGGCTTGGCCCAATTCCCTACCACGCATCACTTGCTCCTCGTCAAGAATTCGACAACGAGTTCGTCAATTTTCATGATTATTCATACTATACGATACTTTTTTCTCGTCCATCTCTCGTTGTTGCGCGCGAACACGATTCCGATCGTAACGAAATCTCGGATAACGCGAGGCAGCGTTTCAGTTAACTCTCCTGTGATCCCTGTGATTTTAGACCGATGCAATGGGGCGAGCGTTGGAGTGGAGCAGCCAATTCGCTTCTCCGAGACGATAAACGAGATCCGTTTTGCTGTTTATAAAATCGACTATATCGATTTTCCCCCTTCTTCCCACTCCTTCCTTTTTTGAATTTCCCGCCACGATGATGATTCACGCGGAAATCTCGCGGCTCGATTAGGAACGGAAATCGGCGTTGATTGCCGGAACCTCGTCCCCGCTCTGTTAAACTCGCGGCCGCCGATTCCTATCTTTTTCCACGGAGCGGCGTGTAACGCCGCGAAATTGACTCATTTATCACGAGGGACGGAGAGAGAGAGAGAGAGAGAGAAAAGAAGCGCGCGACTATGTATCCCATTCCACCGGGCCAAGATTGCGTATCACTGAAAAAAACGGCTCGCGTCGCTTTCACCGCGTGCCATCTGCTCGCAACACGAAACCGCGCCACGTCACGTTTTTTTTCTTTTTTTTTTTTTTTAATTTTAATTATTCTCGCGTCAACGTTAATTGCGACCGCCTTGGAGAATGCATTCGCGCTTGGAAGGAAACAGACGCGAAACAGATCGATTCTAATCTGAGTGATTGCCACACTCCGAGGTTGCGACTTTTTCAAGGTATCTCCGAGTTTTCTATGCATAAGCGTGTAGAGCGTAGGTATACACAAAGGAGTAAAAAGATGGCGAGATTGCCGTGGAAAGCGGACGCAGTTGGAAACGCGGTGTTATGACACATCCTCGTAGAAAACGAGCACGAAAACGGTTATTAAAAACCGTTTCGCGGTTATAAATAATAAGATTGGACGTTAAACGTGGATCGTTCTCTGAAAGAAAGTCGCGTGGACGTGATGTAATTTTCGTAGAACCCCTTTCGGTCCTGTTACTTGACGCGGAAGAGAGCGTTTTTCTTATTATTATTTTTTTTTTTTTTTTTTTAACGAGCCACGCAGCCAACGATGATGCACGACGATGGTCGATCCGATTAAATACGGAGAGGATATTTTGCGCTCCACAGGGGAGAGATGGATAGATTTTCGCGCCAGATGGACAGCCGTAAAAAAGATGGTAATACGAACGGTACACGAGGCTACTTTTGGCAGCACGAGGTCTGCTGGATTGCCGTCACGTCTCGACGCGTCTCGTCCCTTTTCTGGTCGATCGTGTATCGGGCATCACAATGCCGTAATATCATACGCGAGGACTGCGAAATAACGGGTGTTCGCGTGGCGCGCGGATTTAGCGATGATTTAATCCTCCGCGCCACCACTTTTCTATGCAATCCAACGCTTTCGTTTGTCGGCGAGTAGCGGTATTTCGGATCATTGTCGTTTCACTCGTACTCTTCCCTTTCCGCTGTGAAAACGCGCCTCGGAAATTCCGTTTTACACCTCAATCTTGTGGAATATTTCGAAATGTTGCATCACGCTGAAATGTTGTTGAAATTCTAAAAAACGTTATCTATCTATTTCTCAAGGTTATCGAACGTTGAATTTCCCTTCCCCCCCACGAAAGCAATGCGAAAAAACACGCGAATCCACGATCGTATCGGAATATCTGGGATGTCGTCAAAATCTCATCGTACGAGAGGTTCAAGGTTAGTCCGAGATTGTTCCAAGCTTATCGATACGTCGCGACGAAACGTCGAACGTTCGTCGAACGACGTTTGAAAGATGATAGTTGCGAAATAATCGCGCTCTTTATTTATCCCCCCTTTTTTTATAATTTATATAATCGATCCGAGACGTTTGAAAAGCGAGCCGTTCGAACGATCGCCTATTAGTAGAACGATCCAATTTAACCCGTAGAAAGAGTCCGTAAAGAGTGCAATTCGTCTTATCGAGGCGATACGACAGGATTACCGCGAACAAGTACGAAGATCTCTGTCGATCGTTGGGTTGTCGGCAAGCTGTCTGCGTCCGGTTGGATCGCTGCATGTACGAAGCCGCCGCTATCAGACGAGTCGACCGGTGGACTTGGCATATTAGTCCCCATAAAAGGGGCATCGATCGCCATTTGAGCGAGTTCGTACACGAGGCACGCACGCGGAAGATCAAGCCGCAAGAAGCTTCTCCGCAGAGCGGGTAACAGTATACGATCGATGCAGCTTGGTTCGGTCGCGAAGTACAGCGGTCTTAACTTCTCCCGGTCGAAAGAAGTTTTTCTCTTGCACCGATTTCACCGTGAGATCCATCGGGTTGAAGTTGAAGAATTTCGATCAAATTCACGATCAAGGAACAGCCTCTCGGATTCTCGATCGAGAATTCGGAATTTCGGTTTGCGAAACGAAAACATTTTCGTAATTACGAGACACTTAATCGAACTCGATCGAACTTGATACTGGAAACTCGTAGCGGTAGACCACTTTCATCGAGCAGATAATTGCCTCGATGTTGTAACACGATTTTAAACGAGGCATCCAATTATCCGTTAAGTAAGCTGCATCAAAGGTCTGTGCAATAAACTTGACAAAATCTCAAGCTGTAGTTAACCTGAGCGTGAGCGCGGTATATGATTTAATATATTTTTATATTTTTGAATTTCCCTTGAAACGCACAAGAATTTATAATCGTTTAATCGAAGCTATGAGTAGGAATAATCCGAAAAAAGAAGAAAACGGAATCGAGTCACGTTGACTATCTGCAAAACCGTTAAGTCGACCGTTATCGTGAGCCTTAAACCTGATTCCAAACATTTGTCCTTTCACGAGCAAATTATTAAGAATCAGCCCTATAATAATAATCGAATAATCTCGAGTTGAAAAGCACGTACGATAGAACACGAGCGAAATACTTGTGCTCTTTCAACAGGATGTTTCAAAAGGAAAAATCTCGAAAGTTTTTACAATTATTCGATCAAAAGTTATCGTTTCACTTGATCCATTCGTTTTTCCAAATCATTCACTGCAACTTCGTAGAACGCGACCCGAGAAAAAAGTTGTAACGGTCGTCACGTTATGCGAAATAATTTGGATGCAGTCTCATGAAACATTGTTCAGCTATAAAAGCGAGGTTCGTGCAAATTGTTAAGCGTGGTCGGCCATGTCGTACGCTCGAGATATTCTCGCATCACGAGCTTTTCTCTCTCGTCCGGCTCACGCGTCTCCCACCTTCCTCTTTGAAACCGTTTACGCTCGGCGAACGCGACGCTCGGTTTATCCTAGGCAAGAAAATCACCTCGAACGAGCCGATCGATCGATCGAACGACACGCCGCGTTGTCGTAGCTCGATAAGAAACGCAATAAAAAGTTTGCCAAGTATCTGACGCAGTTCGAGTCGGTGTACGGTTTATGCTACTAGACGAGGTGAAAGTATGCGTTCAGTTTGCTTTTCGATAAGAAAGATGTACGAGAATTTGGGATGTTAAGTTTTTTTGTTAAGAGTCAAACCAGGATTAATTAACTGAGTTTCAACTGTTAAAATTTAGCTGGTCGAAGAAAATTACCGTTAAAATTCGCGTGAAATTTCATCTACGATAGTTTTTTTTAAGAATTACTCTAATTTTTTTTTTTTTTTAATTATAAATTTTGAATTGAATTCGTGAAATATTAGAGGATATATAAATTTTTTTTTTAATGATCTTGTTTTTCAAATATGTGGTTTTAGAAATGGATTTCGTTATAATTTCGTTTTTTCATTTTTTTTTTTTTTTTTTTTCTTTTCTTTTTCGCCGAGTCAATGCGCCTTATAGCATTTTCAGAGCTATATCCGTTGCACTTGTAGTATAAATATGTATTTACCTGACTGTATGTGCGTATTAAAATGCACATTAATGATCGCAGCTTAAAGATCACTTCCTTCGTTGTTCAGTATCATGCTATAAACGGTTGTAATTACCGTTTAACTGTAATTCTAGACGTAAGTAATTGCCTTTTAACTGTGCGTAGAATAATGTTATAATCAGATGTTTTTTTTTTTTTTTTACGATCCTGTTAAATCCTTCGAGCGTATACTGTTAAATTGGACAATCGCTCGAGGAAATAAAATTATGCGTGTTTAACAATCGGAAAGACTTAAAAATCTTGGAATTTTAAACAAGAATGAATTCTCATGTTTAAAACAAAGCGTTAAAAAGCTTTTAAGCTTTTATTTAGTTTATGGGGCACAAGGGAAGACAGAAATGGCGATGAATAGAACTCCTTTTATAACTGAGAGTATACAGCGCGCGATTGTACTATCGAGGCAAACAAATCGTAGGCAGAGGAGGACATTTACGCGTAGAAAATCCATCAGTTATCAGAACTTGTCGTTCGACGCCAGAAACCAGGCGGGAATTAGCGAGAATTTTTTTTTTTTTTTTCAAATCTTCCAGTTCAACGATCTCGTTCACTCAATTTTATTTTTCCTGTTCGTATGAAACGAACGTGTATTTCGTTTCTCATATTCCATCCGTTCCAATATGAACATTTATCCGTTCGGTGTCAATTCTCCGATGTAGAGACGCAATTTTATTTTTTTTATTAAATTCGAGAAATTATATTCAAACATATAGGTGTGTGAGTGTCGATGAAATATATAGATTAGACGCACTATGTGTCTTCCGATGCTTTTTTAATCTCGACCCCGAACGAAACGAAAAATCCCTGTGTCTACCGGCCGAATCGTACGTTCGCGTGTTCGGCAATTTCCGACATCCCTCGGCAGGACTCGCAAGCGCGCCGCATCGCAGCGTCATTCAGTCGAATGCTGACCGCCACGCGCAAAGGATCGTGTTACGCTCGATATCCGTGTGTCGTCACGAGTCACTTCTGTCTGCTTTGACAGCCAGTCACGTCTTACGTTTCTTCATTGTGTTTACATTCGTGATGTACGATCACCGATCGAATACGGTTCGTTTGCTCCCCGCTTAAATCAATTGTCGATCCGATTCGGTTGTTCGTTTCTTCGGTATCTAATCGCGATTTCTCCAGAGAGGGCACGTGTTAATCAAACGAACCACATCGAAAGTGTGCAGTGCGTTCAATTATTTGCTGTGGGCGATCAAAGATTCGTATATACAAACGAGATTATTGTGCTTGGGGACGTTTCTGTTGGCAAACACGATCGATATAAAGAGAAGACGACATACATGGTTTGATTTACGTCTCATCTCGAGCATAGTGCTACGCTAACTTTGAAATCGTCTGAAATTACATTCAAGAGAGAACATTGTCGCGATCGAGGCACGTTCCCAGCTATCTCGGAGCTTCTTAACGAAGCACCCCGCCTTTAAACGAATTTAACGAGACCACTCCATACGGTCAATTCGTACCAACCCGCGTGGACTGATCCAGGCGTCCCTCGCGTCTCCTCACTCCTCACTTAGGGTTGACTGACCGATCGAGACGCAAGACCGTACTCCGGTCCCCGTGATCAAAGATATACTCGTCGAGCGTGTACGATGCGTTCGATCAATCGCGACACGGTGTTATATCGGCGAGAATAAACAAACAGACCGAGTGAAAGAAGATTGGTGGAGCAAAAGGAGCCAAAGGGCAAACGAGCGTAACACTGGTTGGTGGTTGTTCGCCGAGAGAGAAAAAGATTTCGGGAAGGATTCTCCGTTACGCGAGCCTAGACGATTCCTAGTTAACGATCAACAAAAGTGGCTGGTAATTAGAGCCGGATTAATTGGACCGCGAAGCAACTCGCGCCGGACGCGATGAAAGAGAAGAGGGGCGCCGCGAGGAAGAGAGGGTTGCTCGAATAAGCGTACTTCGCGCGGCTTTCTTATTTCGAGGATTGTCGTCTCCTCGCGACCAATTCTTAGTTTCTACGTGTAAATATTTACGAGACTGTCAGTGAACCCTGGTGCCAGTGATCACCAGAATTGAAATCACCTTACCAGTGATTCGTTACGAATACGTGAATCCATAATAGCTTCGCGAACTGTACTTGTCCTGTACTCGTTAGTTTAACTATTCAAAGACTATACGCGTTTGTGGTTAGGCCATCGGTCTCGGCCATTGTTTCCCCCCCGCATCGACACACGCGGAGAACGCAAGAAGCTCGCGTAGTAAGTACGCGTAGTAACGCGAGTGGAAAGGTCGAAGAACAGTAATCGAGGGGGTGTTGGAGGGGTGGTGGTCGATCGGTCACGAGCGCGAGGAAGCGGCGGCGGTCAGCGTGTCGGGGATCGGGTCGGATAATGCGCCATCGCGCGACAACGCGATTTTCGGCGATCGTGAGAATAGAATGTTGACAGCCCGTTCTGGGCCTCTTGGGCTCGGTGTCCCGCGAACCCTGGGGCCCGCCGAAGGGAGCGACCACCTCTTCCTTCTACCCGAAAGAGCACTGATCATGGACAGCACCCACTTGAGACAGGATCTGGCCGGTCTCGACTTCAACTTGCACCTGAACCTGCTCCACACCGCGCCCCGCGGCAACGTCTGGCTATGTGAGTCGCTACTTTGTACCGGGTCATTGTCTGGGGATGATGGAACGCATGCGGTGGTCACCATGCGGTTTTTCTATCTATGTGAAAACCAAAGGGGGGGAAGGGAAGATTCCGGTTCGATGGGATTCGCCGTTTATCTAGTTTCTCTCGCTTCTTTTAAAGGTTGAACGAATTGGCGCGTTTATGGTTGAAATGTGGATGTGATATGGTAAGCACGTAGGTCGTGCTTGGTCAAACGATTTCATTCCTTCCTATAAATTATTCGGCGTTTCAAATATTAATGGAGAATCTTTTGTTCTCGGCTCAATGGATCGTTTAATAAGACCCGTTTTAACGATCTCGTAATCAAGATACGTTTGTCTTAGTTACTTGTTTCTGTCCGAATGGAGAACGCGTTTTAAATTATAAAAATGGCTTTATTGGAACGTATATAGAATATGAGTTTCGTGAGTTTTCTAATTGCACGTTTGCAATTTTTAAACATTTTACTCCGGACGTAAAGATAAAACGTACAGAATTCATTCTTACTATAAACATACCGTTGTTCGTGCACTGACCATAAATCTTTAAAGATCTATAATATTCTTGTATCATGGCTCGCGATCCTTCATCCAAATCTTACCTGTTCATTCCTTCGCGATCGAGACGATCACTGTTAAGTTTTAGTTAATGGTATAATGAATTATTGAGCTTGCTCCTGCATCGAAATCTCATTAAATCGCATCCATCTTAGGTCATAATTTCCAATTCAACTTCTTACCACGACCTCGTCAGCCAGCTGTCACGAATAAGAAAAGCTTTTTCGATCGATTCCTCTTTCGCTTAATGAAAGTAAGCAGTAGTTGGAAAGCCGCTTCATTATTTTGATGAAGATCCTGATATCGATTCAAGATGTATCGCAGTTTAATATAATAGTTTTTATTTCGCTTTTTAACGAACACGTTACACGTGTTCCTCGAATGATAAACGAGCTATAAACTCCATTAAAGTTACAAATTCTCCACCTTTCTGATCACGAATCGTAGAATCGTTTGNCGCCTCCCTTGCTTAAAAAAAAAAAAAAAAAAAAAAAAATCCAATAAAATCGTCACCGGCGATCGTCTAGATTCGATGAAAATGTCAGGCAATTCGCGTCACACGAAAGTCTCTCTCAGTTTTTCCGTCTCTCGTTTCGATCACAGCGAAACAAAAGGGCATAGAGAAAGGGAATGGGTGCTCGAAAATGAAAATCCTTGCCCTCGCGACGACGACAAGGGTTTGAAAAACAAGGGTGCGCGTTATTGGTCCATAAAAGCGATACCCGTACGACAAATCTCGCGTTTCATTTCGTTTTGTGATCTTCTAAATCTGATACGATCAGCTTTCTATCGCGCGTGTATTTTTCATAACTTTTACGTTTATGATAAACATTAATTATACAGATAGATATTCTGTAAAAACTATTTACTTATTTTTCGATAATTATTTTACTTTTGAAAAAGTAATTATCGCTCGTAGAGTAGAAACAGACAATCGACTCGCTCGTTTTTAATACTTATCGTTAGGATAGCTAACGTGCTCATAAAAAATTAACATGTCACTACTGGTGCTTCTCGTTAGAATATTATCATTTGTATTCATCGTCGTGATCCTGTCCTGCCTATTATAGTTTTCGTTCCAACATTTGTTCACGATGTTACTATTCACGCTTGCTCGAGGATAGATAATTATACCGCAGCTATAAACACTCCACTTCTTTTTTTTCATTGCATCGTTGAGGACAGAGTAGACTTCGCGGTGTCGTCAACCATTGTATCATTTTTTTCGTTGGTACAGTTAGATCACTTATCGTACTAGGACGATCTTTTTCCCGTTTTTAATGGCGTTCATCGCATAGGTAGCTGTTATTCCAACCGTGGTCTAGAAACTCGCAATTTAACCAGACAGCCGGTAATCTCTGTTTACGTTTCTGTCCTCTATAGAAACAACAAATTCCGCGTCGCGTTTCTTAATAGCGCGTGGCGTTTGGTTCTAATCTTTTACTTTTTGCTAATTATAGTTACCACTTTTATGTCTGCTACGTGTCGACAGATGGAACGATAAAAAAGGTAAGCGCGTAATTTTCGAGCGAGGTCGCGACCATTAATATTTCTCTATTTTTCGCGTTCTCTGTCGAGACTTTCAATCTTGCTCCACTGCTTTTTCATCAATGACACACTCTCGAATTATTTTCATTTTTCGTTCCCAGCCAACGATGTCAGTGTCGAGAATTCGCAGTGAAACACCGTTGCGAAAGTCGGTTCCGCGCAATCTGGCGTAATTTTCCACGTTCCATCGAAATTCATCGAAATTCGATGGATCGTTATATAGGAAGAAAAAAAAAGAAAAAAAAGAAAAAACGAAAAAAAAATGTGAAAAAAAATCGCTTGAACGTGTTCGCGCGTTTTCTGCGCATTTCGTAGAAATTAATTGCGATACGTGCATATTTCGAGACTGTCGAATGCGCTCAATTCCACGGCTATATGCCTGTATATACGTAAGTCTGCTTGATTACAGATAATGTGGCCGTGCAACGTTCTTTTCCTTATATAACGCGAGAAAGGTGGAAACGAACCGACAACTTTTTTTCATCTTTTTCCGATTGTAAATAAACCGTTGGGCTATGACGCGGTTTGGAGCACGCCTTTCCAACACGTTCTGCCAGAAATTGTAGCCAAATAGTTTCTATACAGGGTCGACCGTCTAATCATTTAAATTATTACTTTCATTTATTATCCGATATTTATCACATAATTAAATTATCTTTCACGATGACATTTTATTTTTGTTTTTAATTAATTTTTAAAGCTATTTTTTTCCTTTCTTTTCTTTTTTCTTTTCTCTTTTTTTTTTTTTCCACATCCAACCTCGTAATTCTTTTCCCTTGTTAGTCACGGCAATAAAAGCATTATCTTTTTAAAAAAATTTTCGAGATCGCATCATTCGCAACAAAGAGAATTCTCATCGCTCGACTCGAGGAATAAAAATAATTGAGATAGCCGCGTTAAGCAATCCACTCTGCACTTACATTCGAGCGTAATTTCTCGAAAATACCGAACGTTTATCCAATTTCTAAGCCATTGTATCCTCCAATATTGTTGCGCCACGCTTTGTCAAATTATCATATCCCCTCGTTTCCACGATTCTCGCCAGCCGATGGATCGCGGATGAAAATCCGGGAGGGCGTTTCTCGTTTCGGACGTGAACGAACGAGAATTATATTCGCAATTCCATCCGAACAGCTGTGCAGATATTAAACCGGGTGATGCGTAATCGTAATAACGTTTTCCGTTATTACGCTGTCGTCGCGGAATTGTCGAGGCCTCGCCGATCGTTGGTCGACGTGGGAACGCGATAATGATTAACAAAGGCGCGTTATTAGCCACGCTGCAGAAACGTGAAACGAAGTTAACCGTGCACAGAGGCACAAAGGCACGAACCAAAGTGTGAAGATATATATATTGTTTTCCATAGTTCGGGCGCGGTCACGCCGTCGTAATCGCATTTTTCAACGAGTCGGCCTCGCGCTTACCAGATGCTTCGGCCATCTTCCTCCTCCTATCCGTCCCGCTTGATAAAGATCGCCGCTTCTGCTCGTTCAATTTGAAACGCTTGTTTCGTGGATGGTGACTCGAAGGATTTCGTTTGATTTAACATTTCGTTCTACATTTGGTTAATTGATCGGACGCGAGCTTTTTTCGGAAAGGAAATTTTGGGGGAGGAAGATTAGCGATTAATAGTGAATTGATTTTATAATTCTTTTTCTCTCTCTTTCTATATATATATATATATTTTTAACAAAATTTATTTTGAATTTTACGCTCGGATACAGTAATTTTCATAAACTATTTTAATTTTATATATATATTTAGCTACATATTATGGATCGATACTTTTAGATATTAAAGTTGACAAAGTTCTTATATAGGAATAAGTTTTTATCTCTCGATAAATCGTTAGTACTTAAAGTTTTATACAATTTTAATGATAAGCTAATATAATTTTTATTCGTTAGATTATTCTATTAGATTGTTCGAGGTAATAGTATTTTTTTAACGATTGTACAAAGCGCGAGGAAGGGATGAGGTCGGTGGTAACAAATAATTGTACTTTGTTCACGCGGAACGTAACATACGATTGGAAAAATTGATCGTAAAGATTTATCTTTAATTCTGAAAAATAAAATCGTTGCATTTATCAACTACAAGCAAACGATGAGATTATCCGTATTGCTAGTCTGTGTTATCTTCCACTTGTTTTAACGGTGTTTGCCATTACCGTCGTCAACGTTACATTCGCGATAACAGAAATTTTGAAATTAAAAATTTTCTTTTTTTAAATTCATAAATTCAAACGCACATTGAAATGCACACCTGACTAAGAAAAATTCTTTCTCTCCAAGATGTTAAAAATTATATGGGCACGTTAAGACTCGGTTGGCACCGAATTCGAGAGACGCAATTAACGTAGTGAAGCGTCGTGAATTTTCATCACGAACTTCCCTCGAATCCCAAATGCGAAGACTAATGTCCTCGTAGTCTGGTTAAGCCAGGTTTCTACTACTTACCACTGTGATTTCTCTCACGAAACTTCGCCAAAGAGTTAATCTCGAATGAAACATCGTTCGTTAGCTCATTCTCATTGTACCCGTTAATTCAGTCCTCGATCACGGTTCGCTGAACCGATAAATCGTCGCACGATTTCTCGAAGATTCTCGAGTCGTTGCGATTATCGATCTTTTTTTTTTTCCCTCTCTGTTTCTCTCTCTCGAAGTCTTCGTGTTATCTGTGATCACCATCGCGTATTTACACAACGTTGATTCCATAACACCTAGAATCGCGATACGCGCGATGAAGGGAAAAAAGACGGATAGAAAAGAACTCGTTGTCGCCCAGATTGAATCGCATTAATTATTTTTAAGCCGCGGTCGTGTTAATTAAAGAAGCGACCTTACCTTGAAGCTCGGTAGTAACAGGCCACGA